ACACATGCTTGGTGTGTGTATTCGATGCCTTCAGCTACATGAACCCAGGGGATGGATGTCTGGTGAAATGAGCTTTTATTCCAGTGGAAGCTGGTGTGTTTGAGGGGGTGGAAACTGCAGAAGTGTATTTGTGTTTATGTGTGTGTGTGTGTGTGTGTGTGTGTGCGTACAGGCATGTGGGTGTGTGCATGGTGGGTGGAGCCGCCCCGTGGGTTAACCATTTAAAACCGACACAGACTGATAACCTCCCCCTCTTCCCTACGTCCTCAGGCCATTTAGCAGTCGGCTCTGTCACAGGCGTGTTAGCATCAACTAACTGGTTCTTCCACACTGAAGTGGGATGTTTACCATGAGAGGAGGCGCTGGCGTTAACTGTTTCTGTTCAGATGTTTCTCTTTCGGAGTCCGACATATTAAAAAATACATTATCTCCCTCCCCTCTGCTGGTGTCTAACCCTGCGACAGAATCTATCTCTGAAAAAAAGTCCTGGATTCAATCATTTATCCAGATGTGCTGCAACATATAATGGGTTTCATTTCCTTGGGTCATGCCCCACCCCTCATTTATTGGAAATTCTCTTAACTAACAAACAGACATATGAAAACATTGGCAGAGGTAAAAAAAATAGTCCTTCGTGAAATAGTTTTCAATGCTAAGAGCACCACCAACACCAGTCTGCTGTGTTATTCAATGTTTTATCGTCTTAAATGTAAGTGTTTGCTGCTTTTCTTTGTTTTATGTCACCGTAAAGTTAATATTTAATGGTTTGAAGCAATTTAAAGACATCACCTACTCCTCTGGGAAATTATATTTCCAACTAGAGTGTCGCTCAGTAGAGTTCATACCTCCACCAAGGCCCAACAGTCCCTTTATGAAACCAGATTTAAATTCACCAGATGCAGGTTTTTATTTGGATCTGCACCACATCACATACACACTCATACATGTCAGTCCCCTAAACATGGGATGTATTGATTAGCTCACCACTGAGACGAGACGGCTCACACCATATTCATCTGCAGCGGTTTTATTCTGTTTCCAACCCCCTCCTCTGTTTTTCCTTTTGGGTTCTCTGGCCCACAGAGACTAGGAATCCCCCCCAACACCCCTCCCTCACCTCCTTAGCTTGTGGCTATGTTTCCTCCTTCCCTCCCTCTCTCTCTCTCCTTTCCTCCCATCCCTCCTCCTCCTCCACCTCCACCTCCACCTCTCTCAGACAGACAAATCATGTGGAGCAGAGAGAGAGCGGCTGCATTCCAACACTGAGCTCCTACAGAGCGACACATACACATTCAGTCTGCACGTGGACGCTCACTCTCTGAGTTCACTGACAGCCTGTGCTCACCTTCTGATATCACCATGCTCCAGCGCGCTCTCACCTGCTGATACCATCCACCCAACAGCAGATGTGACTCACAGGCTCAGACGTGATAACAGACAGTAGCCAGACGGTTGAAAACCTCAGCTTTGGAGATTTTTATCAACAGGGATCAACCTTCACCTGGACGAGTTTATTTTGCTTTGGATTATCTGTGTTTCCATGTTTAAAGCAGAAAGGTACGTCAGTGTGATTGTTTATTTGCGGCTCTTCCAGAGAGTGCCCGTCTGTGAACTTCCTCCTGACATGTGTCACAGCGCGCGTCAGACATCTCTGTGGTTTCATTCACTGTGGAACTTCTGACTCTGTCAGTTGCTTGGCTGAGTAAACTCTGCGTTGCTGCTCAGTTTTAGCTCGTAAACTTTTCCTGTTTGGACACGTCTCTCTTGCCGCAGAAGGTTACAGGTTAACAAGGAGGCTCAGTTAGTCATTAGTGTGAAGGAGAGATGTGTGTGTACAGGTTCTTTATGTGGTTGAGTGGACATATTTAGTTTTGACACCATCATTGTGAGGATATCTGTCTGATCCTCACAACTTTGACGGGCTGTTCGAGGGTTTTAGGGTTCAGGTCAGGGAAAGACGTTGATCTGTGATGGTTGAGGTTATGTTAAGGGGGTTACAGGAAATGCATTATGTCAAGTGTCATCATAAATAAAGAGAGGGAGAAACTGCCCGGTTATCTTCAAGGTGACTTTGGGATGATGGATGGTCCCCATAGAGGACAGCGAACCCCCTCCCAGAGTGGATCTGTCAGAGGACCCCAGTATTTTCACTTGTCCCCATTGTCTCTCCTGTTTTAGCATAAGAAACGTTTGTTTATATTTCCCATAACCACTGAATTCCAGAAAGCAATTCTGAATGATTGAAATACTACTTTGAAAACCAACAATAACGCAGTTGTAAAAACAACAATTAAAATGATCCAAACCATTGTAGTAATTACTGATGAATGCTTGATTTGAAGGTTTTTTTAATCTGGAATTGAAAAATAAAGCAAATCGTCTTTTATCCCCAAGTTTGTTCTGGCTCTTTTGGTGCACGGTAAAAGAAACAGAAATGCTGAATCTCGTTGTTTGGTTTGGACTCTCGGGGAAGATTAGCTGAGCGCTACCAGATGACCTGAGAGATTAGCCATTCATTCACGTTCCGGTGGGAAAATACATCTGGTTTGCTGCTCTAAAGGATACAAGTCAAAATATAAACAGTAAAAGGAAAACAGTTGTTAATGCTAATGCTAATCTATCTAGTAAAAATGCCAAATGGTTACTGGCTCCAGTTTGTCAAATGTGAGGATCTGCTTTCTTTCTGTTTAACAAATCATCACTGTGGTTGTTTTCAGCATCCTTTAGCTCATTGATTGTCATATAGCTCTTTGTTTTTAAACCTAAACCTAAAGTACCCAAACTCAGCTTATTCTTGGACAGATGGTGGAGACCAAACCAGGGCTAAAAAGACTCCAAATTGATGCTTATGTTGCTCTTGACCTGCTGGATCTATACGTTTGAATATGCGATAAAAGAAAACGATTGCAAGTTTGAGGACGATTCATTTCTAATCATAGATGCAGCTGTAAAGGCTGTACAGGTTTGCTCTCTGCTGACGTCTGGTTGCTGTTAAGCTTCCGTGCCACAGTTCAGATGTCGATTCTGTTTGACTGCAGCTCACACAAAGAGGCTCTGTCCATATAAACTCTGTACTGTGTGTGTACTGTATATACATGTAGGTATAAATGTGTGTTTGTGCGCTGGAGTCCGTTTTGCTGAGATCCACTCTGAGATTAAAAAAACAGTGTTTGAGTGAAACTTTTTTCATCCACTCACTTAACGGCAGAGACGGAATCGTCACAGACCCACACAGGAAGCATTCACGGTTTAAAACCTCAACATTGAATCAGCAAACATTTCATTAAGTTACACCTGAGCTAAATGAGTCAATATTTAGTTTCATTAAGAATCTCCTCCGTGGGTAAATATTTGTGGAGTTAGTTAAGGTTGTTTTAGTTTGAATGGGAATGTTTGTGTTCAGGGCCTCAGCTTCAGACTGTAGCTGCTGCTATTAGTCAAACTCCAACAACCAGTCAATCAAGTCCTGGCAAATTTCCTTCTACAGCAAGAAATTAAGGGAAAGACCAATTTAACCTACACTTTCATATATGGTGTATTTTTAGCTTCTCTGGATGTTCACAGCCTGGTTGATGAGCTGTGTCGGTGATGAATGACGATATCAGAAGAAAGAACAGACTCGTCCTCTGTCCTCTGTCCTGCGTCCTGCCACTCCTCTTAAACACCACTGTGAGGCCACATGACAGAAATGTGTCTTCACTCAGACAGTTTGCTGTCGTCAGTGTTTGTGTGGCTGCTTTTTGCCAAACGTTCCGGCCTGATTGATGAGAGCTCTGCCTGAAAACGAGACGGATGCTTGCTCCTCCTGTTCTGCGTCCAACAAAAGGCGGCTCTGAGGAACAGAGTGTGTCAACTCTGCGGCCAAACTCCTAAAACAAAGTGTGGTGCTGCCCAACTTCAAATCATCCTGTCCGAGAACCTTTAATTCTGCCTCTGAGACATGTTTTACGGTGCCAGTGTGTGATGTGTTTTGTTGTGTTTTGCAGCTACATGACTGACGGAGGTTTGGGTCTGTACACACGGCGCCTGAACCGCCTGCCCGACAGCATGGCCGCCGTCCGAGAGACGCTCCATCGGAAAACGTCGACAGGGCAGGGAGATGCTGACAGGTAGGTTTAAAAATTAAAATATTAAAGGAAGTTTTTTCATTTTAAAAGCACAAGGTAAACAAGGGGAATCCAATATACTACATTTTGATGTACTAGACTACTTGTACCAGCTTTTGCATTTATGAGCCTCCTATTGAACACGCTGAACTTTATGTGTTTGTTAGTTTGTGGCACAGCCGGTTGTGTGAGTTTGTGTGTACACAGAGTTAGCCAATGGGTTTTGTGTTTCCTAGTTTCATCATACTTGAAGGTATCTTTTGAATGTTGTGGGCTTTGGTTGAATTAACTGTGAAAGAAATTATCCATGTAGAGTTAAAACGCAAGCTCGCTCAGCAGCTGGTGTAGAGAGCGATGGTTTTCTGCTCCTTCAGATTCATGATCACATGGAAAACAGCAGGAGAAACACATTCATATCCTGTGCATTGCTCAACATTGTCATAAAAATCAACATTCAAAACAACTTGCTGCAATACTGATTCTTTTGAGACCTGAAACTGGTGCTTGTCCTCTGTTTTTATGATATAAAATGATATTGCACAGTGCATGTGTGTGTGTCTGTTGGTGATATGTGCCTGCAACATGCAATGTGAGTGTTTCTGTATCTGTGGGACATTTTCTGCCGCGTCCTGTGTCAGCGTGAGTGACTTTAGTCTCTAGTCTTTGTCCTGTCACAGAGAAGGAGATGGATTTGGTTCCTGGCTGGGGGAGGATATAGGTGGAGAGATGAATGAATACTGAGCCGTATGAAAAAACACATTTACCTCTGCACACGTTTTTAGAGGTTTTTAAAGAAATGTGTTACATGGACAGATTTTCGCTGTTGGAAGTTTCAAGTGCTTCGAGCAGCAGTTTTTCCCTAAATCCTCAGGTGTGGCTAATTTCCTGTCCTTTCAGACTTTTGACCTTTGCTCTCTTGCTGGCTTTTACGCTGCATGTGCACTAACACACACACACTCACTCTCAGTCCTTCATAATAAACCCCTCTGGCCCTCAGCTAAACACAAACTGTCCTTGCCCTCACCTTTCTGTCTCTCCTCCCTGTGCAGGACTCTCTCCTCTTAGATTCCCCTTGTTTTGATTAGAGAGTGGAACAAACTGGAAGCACATTAACTGATAAAAGTTGAGGGGATTTCTTCTTCTTGTTTGATTTTAGCGCTTTCATGTTCCTCTGTGAGGTTTAATCGTGCGACCAGGCAGGTTCTCCACAAACTTCTCATTTCTCCCTTCTTGATCTTCAGACTGCTTTGTTATCGTTTTCACAAGATTAGAGAGAGAGAGAGGGGGGTTTCAAAAAGAAGAGGGGATGAGGTGACTCCCCCCTCCTCCCAAACACACCTCCTGAAGCCTGCCTGGTAAACGTGCTTCTACTGCTCTTAGATTTGGGATTAATTTGGAGAGCAGGGGAAGCAGCAGATGAAATGCATTAGCATAATAAACCCAAAGTAGAGGAGCTGGAGGGTAAAAAGGGGTGAGAGGTTCTCTGTTGTAAAAGATGAGGCTAATTTTATACACGACCAGACGGTTTAATGGTGCAATTTGTGCAGGTGGTGGAGGGTGAACACCTCTCCCTGCGCTTCCAATATTTTCATCTTGAGCGTAGGAGCTAAAGATCTTTTTCCTCAGAGGTGTGTGCAGTCTGTGTTTGCTCTCTGGGTGTGTGACCCATCTACAAACCTGCTAAAGTTTAAATGCTTCTTTTATGTCCTCTGCTTTTAAGATACAGCCGGTGAGGAAGCGGGGGTGGGGGAAAGGTGTTGGGTGTCACCGTGGCAATGGGGCAAAACCCTTGTGACCCCTGGACGAGGAGGTCGCAAGCTTCAAAAGGTCCGGGAGCTTTCCGACCACCTTTAAGTCTTCACGCTAAAAGCTTTCAGATCAGTTCAGCTCTGCACTAATGAAGGAGGATAAAAGACGTAGCTGGGATATAACAGTGTAGCTGAGCAGCTTGTTCGGGAAACAGGAAGCCGCTGAAAGTTTATATCGTATTACATCGACTGCTGGAAATGCAAAAAGTAGCTTTACAAATTAACTGTCAAATGTATGTAAAGCAGCAAAAGAGCAGGACCTGCAGGGCTAGAAACTGTGTGTGTGTGTGTGCGTGCGTGCGTGCGTGCGTGCGTGCATGTGTGTGTGTGAGAGCACGCTTATCCCTGTCATTTATCTCCGTGGCAGGAGAAAGAGGAAGCAATCTATAATGGTTTGTCTCTGATTTGAATTCTCTTTGTTCGAGCAGACAAAGAAAACGTCTTTGTGGCGTGAAACCGCTGTAGCTGTGAGTGTCGGAGGAACCGAAGCCCCTCCCCTCCTCGCTCAGGCGTTAGAGATATCATTTCTCTTTTCCAAATGAGAACGTGACACAAAGAAAGAGAGAGAGAGAGAGAGAGAGAGCCACATAAATCTCTCAGTTCGAGCCTGATGACTGATTCTGTCACATGAGAAGAAAAAGGATATAAATCAGTATAATGAGGTAACAGGCCGGTTAAAGGATTCTGCCGTTTTAGACTTTTCTGCGATGGATCCTGTGATGGATGTTGTAGCTGGTGTTTGAACAAACACATGAAGTATTTGTTAGTGAAAGTTAATCTTTCAAAGAAAACATTTAAAAAGTTGTAATTTTTCTCGATTAACGGGTGGAGCTGACGAGACTGAATCACTTGCTCTCTCTGAGCTGAAGTGAAGACCTAACCACTCTAAACGCTTGAGAACTACTACATGTTATTTTCAGTTTAAGATGGCATTTTAAAAAAACTAAAGGGATGCATCAGAAACTGATCTCCATCCTTAAAACACATGTGAATAACACGACCCCACAGGTTAACTGATCATTCATGAGCTGGTGAAAACCTTCTACTCTGAATTCCAGTGTCTTAGTAACTGAAACGGGACATCGACGGCAGAAAGTAAGACGAGGGATGTCTATACGCTTGGACGTGGAACTCTTTGCAATCACATCTGATAGTAGAAGAAAATGTGGGTTATAGTTTTCAAAAGTTTCAGTTTCTGTCTGTCCAGATTCAAATGAGCGAACTGACAATTTAAATGTTTTGATCACGGGAGAGATAGTGGACAACGTGATGCTTCCTCCACTAAAATCATGTTCTACCAAGTATGTGGAATTGTTTTTTAAGTTACTGTTATCGTGTGTTTGGTTGTTAAGACCCAGTCATCTGCTTTATTTCAACTTTGGTAAAAAAAAAACTAAAAAAAAACACTGGAAAGTAAAAGAACATACGCAATGTGATTTTTACTTGAAGTCATCTTGTGACTCACTGCATCGACCAATCAAACACAGTCAGGTCCACATTCCTGATAGGTCACTCTGCTGTGGGAATTGTGTCATTTACCAGGGCTGTGAAATCTCTTATATCATAAACTATTGTGCAGTCGTATAGAATCTGACTGATTCATGGATCTGTTTCTCAAACTTGCCCCAACTGATCGTATTTTATCTTACGCCTCTCATGCACGTGTGTGAGTAACAACACGCGAGTTTTCTGCCCGAACAACCGTTAAACAGCAGCACAGGCACAAGTGCATCACCTGCACTAAGTTTGTTTAACTCATACAGACAGTGACAAGTGAGACTTTGAAATTACTTTTAAATGTTTATATTATTATGATGAAGATTATTATGTCTGCCCTCATAGTGTGGAGTGATTGTGTGTGTGCGTGTGCGTGTGCATGGTTTACAAGCATCTCCTCTCTGGAAGTTTTTAATCCCACCTGTAAAATAGAAAAATAGTGTTTACAACATAATATACTATCCTCCCTCTCTTTCACACTCACACAGGTACACACACACACACACACATATATATATATATATATATATATATAGCCCCAGGCTCCAACATGTTATCTCTTGTGTCAGGACTTGAGCAGACTCCCTGTTGGCCTGAGGGAGAAAGAGAGAGGTTCCCCCTCCTTCATCAACTCCTCAGCTACCAGCAACACCTGGCACTCCACCTGTCTCCCTGTCTGTCTGTCTGTCTCTCTGTCTGTCTGTCTTTCTGTCCATCTGTCTGTCCTCTGTAACCCCACCTCCACCTGCTCTCCTGCCCCAGCACAGTCCATGCCTGACGAAGTCTGCTGAAAGATTTTTTCTTGTTAACAAAGAGAAGAAAGGGAAATACTTTGTAAATATATGTATCTTCATATTCACCAAGAGGAACATTTGGATATACTCCTCTGCTTAACGTCTACACACACACACACACACACACAGACACACACACAGACACACACACACACACACACACACAATTCGAACAAATGCTTTTTTAACCCTGCAAATGCCTCCCAGCCATGTTCTATCTCTGTGTATGTATGTGTGTGTGCGTGCGTGCGTGTGTGTGTGTGTGTGTGTGTGAGTGTGAGTGTGTGTTATTGTGAGTGTGTGTTAGTGTGTGAGTCAGTCTGACCCACAATCTGTAGCTATTCCTTGTAGGCTGAAAGGCCAAATATGTTAGTTAATGATGCTCCTACACACCCACATACTCCAGCTGCTGCACAACGCTCCTCCACCTACACTGCAAAAATCTCCATCTTACTCATTTCATTCATATTTCCTTTTTAAAACTGGTGGATTATTGAAACCTGTTTCCAATACAAATCAACAATATGTGTTGTGCATGTGTGAAAGGTGTCACCAGTTCTCCAGATTTTACCGACAGGTCACGTCTGAAAACAGCTCAACTGAGAGTTAGCAAGCTTCCCTTTCTCCCAATATCTATTTACTCATATAAATTAGGCACGGACCATTTTTCTGTTTTGTTCCAGGATATACTGACCATTTAACTCCATTTAAAACAAACATTGATTTGCATATGAACAACTCGGGGATAATCGTTTACTGCACAGACAGATGTGGTTTCAACTGTTTCAGAGCTCAGAGGCAAAAATGTGTGGGTAAGATGGAGATGTGTGTTTTTTTTTGCAGTGTACCACACACAGAGCAAACCTGCTGCCCACATGCATGTGGGAGGAGGGTCTTGATTTAC